GCGGGCACTGGCCAAAGCTCAGCTGATGGTGCACGCCCAGCAGCAGCCGAGCCAGGAATCAAGGTCACGAGCACTTCATGTCTGGGTTTGGGAAGGGAACCGGCCCAAAAGGGGGCACTGGGCTGTGGGGAACTGGGGCGAGAAGCACTGGAAAGGGCAAAGCACAGGGAGAAGGGGCAGGCTGCCTTCAGCAACCCAGAGTCCTTCCCCTGCTACGCCAACGGGCAATCGCCAGCCCCACTCTCGCTTCCCCAGAGAGCGAGGCGCCAGGAGTGACTCAGCTCCCCCCGTTCGGCACATCTGCCCCGGCAGGGACAAGCCGCCCCCAGCAGACTTCCTCCGTGGTCACCGCAGCCTGGAGCAACCCCAGACCCGGCGCGGGACAGCCCAGCCCTCCGCCATCCCTTCCCCCCTGACGTTCAGCTCCGGTTACAAGATTTATGCTCCAGTTGCTCGTTACCAGAAGGCACCAGGCTTCTCAGAGGGGTCACCTCATCGCACACCCCCTTCCCACCCCAGGGAACCTCTGAAAGCAGCCAGGACTTTCAAAAAACCCTTTAACGCAGGTCACGTCCCCTCCCACAACAGCTAGCCCTATTTTTTCACTGCCCAAGATGAAGCGTGGAGCATATAAAAGAAAAGACCCAGTACGAAGTACAAACGGAGATTGGAGAGATTTATTTTCCATCACCTACCAAGGCGGCAAACACACCACAGTTAATGTTTATTTTAAATATCTCCACTCCCCCATTTGCTTCTTCCTCTTCCACTCCCAATGTTTGCAGACAAAATGAGCGAGGCTGGGGGAGGGTTTGCGGACCAGAGGCAAGCAGCTCTGCACCATTACGGGCTGGGAGGACGTAGCGCCATCGCAGGGCCCAGCAACGACCAGCCCTGTCCCCGAGCGCAGCGCAGGGACGAGCAGGGACGAGCGTGACTCCACCTTTTACAGGCAACTGGATGGGGGCTGATGTCATGCAGGCTGGGTGCAGCTGGCCGCACTGTCCAGGGGAGCCACCGAGCACTGGCAGCTTACCCAGCGAAACGTGAGGCTACAGGATGGGAGAGGTGCCGACGAAGGGGTGCAATTAGCCAGTTTTGGCAGGAGCGCCTACTGGTGGGAGAACATGGTAGCCCGCGCCTAGGAGGACAACTTGTATCAAAGTCAACACCTTTAACACCACATGCCAAGCGTTACTTTTAGGAGAAGGAAACTCCTTGTCCCTGGAGCAAGGGGCGCGCCGATTCAGTTCTGCTCGCTCCTCGTGGTGTGCACCAGGGACTCACAATGCCGGTACCCCTGCCTGCCTGCTCGCTCAATCCCGGGGCTTCTTCTTATGCTTCTTTTTCTTCTTCTTCTTCTGAGCCTTGCTGGGCTTCCCCGAATGCCTGGTCCTCTTGCTGGCCAGCTGAGCCCCATCGCTGTCCGAGTCCGAGCTGTCCGAGTCCGACTCAGAGGACTGCTTATTCTTGTGCTTCTTCTTCTTCTTCTTCTCCTAGCAAATGAAGGAAAATAAATAAAAAGCCTTGCACATGGGAAAATTGTGACTTGGGCTCACCAGGGTAGCGAGACACTTTCTGTAATGAGTGCCTTACAAGCTGTGACAGGGGCAAGCCTGCTCCGACACGGAAGGCACACACAGCCTCTGCCCCAGCGAGTCAGGATTTAACCACCGCTGTCGGTCCAGAGCCGCACCGGGCAGGGTTCGGCAGCTATCAGAGCAGAGGGGCACAAAAACGTAAATCCAAGCCTGAAAACTCAGTCAAATCACAAGAAGAGAGTCCTTGCCATGCCTCCGCGGTCAGAGCTTACTCCATTATTTAAGGCTATTCTTTATTAATAGAGGTTGGCAGGATGAAGCCTTTTTGCCAGCGAAAGGGGTTTCTAACATAGCCAGCTGGATGCGCCATCCCTGCTTCCCCACACCATCATCAGCCCACAGACTGCCAGGAAATGAGCGCCGATGCGCTGGAGCACTAATGACGGCACACCCTTCTCCCTGCAGGAAAGCCCCAGCCCAAGAAATGCCAGCCAGAGTTTCTTGCAGCTGCCTCTCGAGGGCAGCCGGGATGAGGAAAGCGCCCCTTTTGCAAGCAGCAACTCTTTGCACAATCTCAGAACAGATTGCACACCCTCCTGCTCTCGCAGCTTCCCTCCCTCTCCCCCCGCACACAGGCAGAGTCCAGGGGCAGCACTGAGCCCCCCGGGCCGTGTTTCTGTGAAGCCCTGAAGCAACAGCTTACACAGAGCTCAAGACCCATCATTTGGATGCAGAATAAGAACAGCTGGTGCTGGCATAAAGCTCATAAGGAACTTTGAGAGGATCTAAACCCTCAATCTGAGGCATCTGACAGTAACTACCAAGCAGAGATTACTCCGAGATCAGTACCGCGGTACACTTTCCCCTTGAATCGCATTGGGCAGAGCGTCCCAAAGCAGATAAAGGCTATTCAGTGCTGCAGTACAGCAATTTGTGTATATTTAATGAGAAAGCAGTACTGGGGGAGAGATCTGATCTGCCTGTGCTGGCAGCACGCACAGCCCAGCTGCTAGCCCCGCTCTGCCCGTTGCTTCACCCCCTTCCAGCAAGGAGCAGGAAGAGAAGCGCTGACCACAGCTCTCGGGAGCCGGCCGTGCCCTCCGAGCACCAGGGCAGCCTAACGGCTCGGTAAATCACCGCCCTCCGACCGGAGCGGGCCAGCGTTGGAGGCAGGCTGGGCAGCCAGCACCAACCCGAGCGGTCCCGGTGCCAGGAACAAAAGTGGCTCAGAAGGCGTCAGCCGGCGCGGTCGGCTTTTGTGCACAAATAAACGAACATCCAAATCTGACCCCAGCACAACTCACCTTTCTAATCCACTGAATACCCGCAAAACCATTGCGTAGACCAACTCTCGGAACAAGACAGAAGATATTTTTTCAGGTATATTTTAGGAAGATGCTTTGAAAAGAAATGACTGTCCTGCAAAAATCAGGTATTTTCACTTATGCCCCTTGGTTCTGGGAAGTAAAGGAAAGCAGCATGCAGGTGAGAGGGCCCATAAAAAAGTAATTTTAATATTTTTCACGATTAATATAAAGCACTTCAAGATTGCTAAGATCAGTAAGGGTTCCAGCTTTCCACCCAAGCCCAGCAACACCGGCCTCCAAGGAGGATCCACTGATCTCATCCATGGTCACATCAACATCAAAGAGGGACCGTCCTGTGAAAACGGTGACTGTGAATTTTCGTTCTCTTCAAGGACGTAAAGAGGACATCAGGAAAGAAGCAAAAGAGGGTTCCATGAAGCAGAGATGGGCCAGCAAGGCAACCCAAGCCCATGGGATTGCCTGCAATAGGCTTAGACAGCACCAGTGAGGAATGCAACCCAGCAAGCAAAGCTTGCTGCTTTGACTAAGCCATATAGCAGCATTTTTGCTTAAAGCGAGCTGCACCTTCCCAAGTGATCCATGTGCGCTCACTGGAACTGGTGCACCTGTAAGACCGGGCACAATCTTCCCCAAACTTGCTGCAATCCAGCATCCTCTTCTCTTCCACAATTTAACTATGCAGCCAGGTGCCAGCGATACACGTACTGCTGCTAGCTGCACAGATGAGGTTCTATCCCCTAGTCAGAGCCCAGCTCCTTTCCCCCTGCACATACTTTACCTTTACTGGATGCATCTCCTGTAGACTGGTGTCACCCCGGGTTTGTACAAACACGCCCCGCAGTTGAGATAGCACAGCAGCATTGCAGCTGGGGTCAGAGTGAGCTCTTGAAGCAGAGCGTGAGCAAGGAGCCATGGCCATGGCACTGCCTCCCATGCTGACCACCACCTCTGGAGGGCCAAGCTCTCTGTTAGCAGCAGTAGTGAGTCTCCTGAGCCTGCGCCAACGGGTGGAAGGAGCCCAGGGCATTCACTTCAAGGCATCACTAGACCAGGAAAAGGAGTCTTGGTAAGCCAGACAAGAAGCCAGGCTTCCCCCCACTGTCTACTTTAAAGAGGCTGAATGATGGTTTGTTCAGAGTGTGGCTGTGCACAGGCCTTGGGGAGCAGCACAATGGGAGATGGACAGCGGTCAAATGACAGTCCCAAACATAACACAAACGTGTTTTACATTCCACTACGGAAGGGAGCGTAATGGGAGAAGCCTGGAGCCCCCAAGCCAACAGCTCCACTTATTTTCTTTGCCAAGAGCGTCCCCAACGACCTCAAGGCCACCCTTGGGCTTGCAGAGAGTTTTACTGGGAGAGGTTTGCTGTAAGTCACCCCTGTCTTGGCAGGGCCATTAGTGCTTCATGAGGAAGCAGAAGGCAGCAGCAAGCCCAAGGGCACGGTTATGCCAGTCGCAGGACGACAGGCAGGACGAGTCCTCGGGGAGGCCGCCCTCCTTGGCCAGCTGCTGCAGACATCCACAGCCACCCTAGGAGCTAAGCCAAGGGAGAGAAAATGAGCGCATGATTAGATGAAGGGAACAGCGGCAATCAGCCGCAGATACACAAGATACCTGTACAAAATCAGAATGACTGGTGTGGGCAAGTATTTCCACCTGCTCCAACACAACCAGGCGCAGCGCAGGGCTGGCCATGGGGACTAAAGTTCTGAACCCAGCGCTGACACTGGTTTTGTGGGTCCGGCGTGAGATACTCGGGTGCCTGCAGGTGCTGCCTTAGGCCTGCTATGCACCCACAACCACCCAGGGGAAAAGAACAACCCTGGCTGGAAATGGATTGGAAAGCATCCCCATAAAGAAAACTGGCTTCACAGAAGGAAGCCCGAGACACAACAGAATGTGCGTATTCACCCAGAGAACTCCAAGCTAAGAAACCAGCACTCAACTGTTTGAAACAAGAGCCAGAAGCAGCTGATAAGCACAGCATGAAAAATGAGGCAAAGAGGGGGGGAAAAAAAAATCCCCTGCAGTAACCAACTTTTACATCCCGACTGCATTATCTGCTGTAGGCTTGGAGGTGCTCAGGTAGCTCACCAAGGCAGGTGAGCACGTTAAAGCCAAGCCCGTGCTGTATTTAGGTATGCATTAATAGCGAGGGCACAGCGTTGCTCGTAGCCCTCCAGTGCCACCCACAATCTTCCCTTGAAGGGCAAACTGTCTTAAAATTGCTCAGGGATAAAGAAGTGTCCCAGTGCAGAAAGCACAGAGAAAGCTGGGTTCCCCACTCCTCCCCACAAGACACTTCTTCCATTAGCTTCAGCCACTTCCAGACAAGTGCAGTTTCCATATGAAAATTAATATACTGGCTTACAGGAAGACAAGCCGAGTCTGTCTACATTTCATTTAAAACCAACATATTCTCCCGTAAGAGTGGGGACACAGAAGGCCCAGCTAAAGACATCAATTTATCACGGACTGTGTGTCATAGCACCAGATACAGGCTATCAATTAGGGACAACAAAGGAAGGGAGCTAGCAGCTCATTTAATGTGAAACAGAACAACTCTCTTAGGGAGGTTGAAGTGCAAAGACCGCATGGCTTGGAGCTGAACATCAAGCAAAGAGTCCTCTGGGACTCCAGGGAAGAAGGCAGAGGATTGAGCTCACTCCACACCTAGCAGACCCTTGGCAGGTATCAGTTTTTTGTAGCTCCACAATAGCACTATGGATCACCGATCTCACCCAAAATTTGACAGTCTACATTTTATTGTGGGATAATACCAGACTCGCTACAAAGTCCCCTACCCACAGACGAAGGGCAGAAGCAAATTGTAACAGTCTTTAGAAGAGGATGGTAAAGAGTTAAATCTTCTAGAGAAAGGGATGCAGCACGGAGAATTTTCTCAAGCTTTTCCAGCCCGTGCAGATGGTGAGAAAGTTTGACAAGACCTTAACAACTAACAGAGATTCATTCCAGAGCTTGGGAAACTTTCTCACCATGTGAAGGCTGAAGACAGGACAGGATGTCACACCAGTCCCTTCAGGATTCAGGGGAAATAAAAGTACACACGTGGACATTGTGCTAGCTAAAAAAAAAAAACCCAAACCTCAGACTCTCCTTTTTGGGGGCTTCTAACAGCCAAACTGCTCACACCAACACACAAAAAGTACTTTCAGTGCAGTACTGCAAGCACCACAGCGTAAGCACATGCTGGACTGCAAATACTGCAGGAAGGAAGCCAGCGACAGAAGAGCTTAACGTTTTCTGTAGCAGGAGGCAGTGCTGCTGTGAAATCATTCCGCACAAGCAGCATCCTTCTATTAGACCACAGATTTCTTTAAACTCCAGCATCCCGGTACTGGGAGACAAGCACTCCGCTGGTTACCAGTCAACTCACCGTTGTGCGAGCGGTGCACAACGGTGCAGTAAACCATTTTCTCTAGTTTACTTATCCAGAGGGCAGTGCCAAAGCAAAGGCCAGATTTCTGCCTCCAGCAACAGCAGCAAAGCCCTGCCGCACCCCAAGCTTCAAACTGGTTTCCAGAACCGAAGGCTGCTGATGGCTGAAGCTCAGCTCAGCTCTCGGGCACACCCAGGCACTCCCCCAGAACTGAGAACACTGCATTTGTGTCAACACTTTGAGTGGATTTTGCCCAAGCAGACTCTCAGTGTAAAGATGCGGAGGGCCAACAAGTATGAAGACCTGCACGTTACAACTCCTCACACATCCTGTCCAATTGATGTAATGTTTACAATTCTACCAAAACAGAACAAACTTACTTCAAAACCTCTCATCTACAAAGCCCGTGCTGGGAGCTGGCATGCAGAAGAGCAATAGGCTGGGCTACGGCCTGATAGTGCCGGTTCTCCTACTGCTCTAGTTATTTTCAAAAAGCTGGCACTAAGAGGGGACCACATTAGCACACCAGGCTCTCTCCTGTCCTTCGTAAGGAAAGCTGCTTGGGGCTCCGCTTTAAGAACGTTACAACAGTTCATTCCTTCTAAAGGTATTTGGTTTTGAGATAAGAGGGGAGTGTCCAGAACTCTCCAAGAAATTTAAATATTTTTCAGAGCCTTTTGTGGAGTTATGGTCTCATTCAGAGACTATGTCTGTCCTTGTGAAAAATTAGAATGGATTTCCAGATATGTCTTTCTGCATCTCCAGAGAGGTGCCAGTATTCCTTCTAGGGTTTTTTAATTCTTAAAAAGAAAAAAAAAGAAAAAAGAAAAAAGCTAAATTCCACCACCCAATTTAATTCCAAACAAGATTAATTACGTAAATCTAAAGGTATTACTGCATCCCTTGTCTAAGGACCAGTCAGAATTAGTACGATGAGAAGAATCCAGTCTATGGTCATTAAATAAATACAGCAAAGTTCAGAAAAGCACGGATCAGGACAGTAAGAGAATAGCATAGTGTGTGAAGAGCTGTGCCCTAAGCTAATGCCATTTAAGAACTAGTAAAACAAGTACCAGCTACAAGTGAGGATGGACTAAGGCTTGATGAACTACAGGTCACTGAACAAATAACAATTACGAAGGTGTGGGTTTTACATGAAGAGACAACATCTGCAAGCAGATTGCCTGGAAATCTTTTACAGGGTGGGAGAAAGAGCAGCAAACCCTGCCAAAAAGCCATCATAGGTCACATTTACTATGTAATTCCAATGACCTTCGCAAAACTACCCCAGGGATAAGTTAATCAATGTATCTGAGCAGATGATAGGATGCTTTTGAAGAATTCAAATTAAAGGGGTTACTCCTAGTGTGGAAACAGCAGCTCTTTTCTTGACAGACAGACAGGAGAGAAGAATCAGAAGGGTTCGTTTCTTCTCAGCACGCCTCCCTCCCACGCAAGCTTAGCACAGACATGCTGCCGTGTTCCCATAGGAGCTCCTTCACCCTGTGACCCAAAGAGTAAAAGCGAAAGGGACGCAGCCACATGCCTGTGCAGCTGTCAGCGACTCCTCGGATGATCTCCGGTACTTCTGCACAGCGCTGCGACAGCACCATCTCCGCTTCTCCCTCAAATCGCTTATTTTCTCAGGGATTACGGGAGGCAGGACAGTGGTCTTGTGCAGAATACTAACAAGGTGATCTGTCACTAGAAAGACTTGTGCCCTCAGTCACACCAGAAGCCTCCAGCTGTCTCTTACTCCTGTAAATGCTGTGGGCTCAGGCAGGAGGAAAGTCAGGAAATGAGGAACCATTGGGAAGGCAAGTTGAGAAAAGCGAGTGAGGACCCCGGCATATCTCTGTAAGGAGAGGAGTCTCTGGGGAGAGTTGAAGAGCACCCAGGGACTGCAAGGAAACACCAGAGCAAGGAAACAGAAAATGTTAATACCATTGCTATGACACTAAACGGATGCTTGGTAGATAGCAGTGTCTTATCTACTCCTTTAAAAATATAAGCTCTAAATTTATGTTACAACCATCAGATGGGATGGGGTCAGCAAGGCAACCGTTACTAGGTAGATTGAGCTATTTCTACTTTGTGTAAATCCTCCTGGGGCTCCGGGCAAGCAGGGAAGCGCATGGTGGCTCCCAGACAAGATCACAGCAGGCACTCGAGACAACAAGGGAGCTATTCATTTTGAGGATCCCACATCCTGCCTCCAAGAAGCTCAAAGTTTTCTTTTCCAGCACTGGAAAACATCTGAAAACTTTTGATCTCCTCCTTGAGAAGGGAGAAGGATCAAAGGAACAAGCTAGATTTAAAGTAAGGCGGTTAATCCACAGACCCCCCAAAAATTAGTAACAAATTCAGGACAGTGACCCACGTACCCTGCAGTCTCAGCAGGGCAAGACTCCACAGGGAGTCCCCACCCCGGTGGACGGGCACTGATATGGTAACAAGCTATTTGCACACCTCTTAGTGTAATTTTTCCCCACAGCATTTAGATAACCGTTACGCAAGCCTGCACCAGACAAACCATCATCGCTGCTAGAGGGAAGAGAACCCAAGGCAGGGGAAGCCGTCCCTGCTGAGGTATTACCAACAGCCTGCTCTCACACCGCTCCATGGCAAGAGAAGCCCAACGCCTGGAGTCCAGAAAGGTCAGAGTCGCAGTTAGCTTGGGATCCGAGAGACAACTCGGTTCAATCGCGTGCTTCCAAGATGAGAATAGAAAGAAGACTCTGTATTTTCTATCGCAGCATAACGACACTCCAGAGACAAGTCCAAGACATTCTTGAATAAGAGCCTACGTAGTGGGAAAGCAAAACACACCTTGGGATGGAACCAGGCAACAGGATCTACAGTCAAGAGAGATCCTGTTCCTGCTACTGAATCAGCTATCCAGAGCACTACTGAGCAAACAAGAACTGCAAATTTGGCATCGAATTAACTCTTAACTTCATTTTGTACTGACTGTAGGGCAGAAATAGGTATGCCACAGGGCAGGGGCTGACACAGAGAACGTCGCGACACACCTGGCTCTTCTACACTGGTGCAGTCACCACCTACAATCCCACAAACAGCCCCAGCTACTCCTCTCTCTAATAAGCGTGTACCAAAGTGCCAGAAACCACAATACCAGAGAAAAACGTGACTGGAAGCGAGACTTCAGCTACCAGCGTCAGTCACTCTGGACTGGTCTGAGTGTCGCCATCAAAACAGACTCCTCCGTCCCCGTTGCCAGCATCTGCAGTCTCTCCTACTAGCACCAGTACTGGTTTAACTCCACAGCGAGCCTGGGAGAACTAAGCCCTCAGAAGTTAGTTCTCCCCACGCAGTTGCTAACACCGTCCTTATCCCTCTCCTGTAAAAACAAAATTCACCACCTTTTCTGCCTGTTGCCCCTCTCCAGGGATACAGACAGGCCACAGAGCCAGAAAGAGAAAAAAAAAGAAAGAAAAAAAGGGCTTTGGAAGGGTAATTGAAAGTGGGACTCCAGTTGTGAAGGGGCTGATTAAGCAGTTTATTTACTATAGTCTAGAATTGGAATACTCATTGCTGTATAAACAGACTGACCACCAAAAGCTCCTGTTTTGGATTCAGGTCTCCCCTGCGTCTTATACCTGCATGCTCTGAAGCCAGAGTTCAAACACTGGACATAAAAGGTCTCTTACCTCTTGACATTTTCACAGAGACAAAAAATGGCTTTAGAGCCTGGAAATGGAGTACACTCCCTGTGCAAATACAACCAGCGATTTTCCCCTGGCACGTGCAGATAAGCCTAGTTCACATCGCACTGGCTGGGTCAGGATACCCGCTGTAGCAAGGCAGCGGGGCCTTTAGGTC